ACCACACCATCAGTCCAATTGCCTGTCCTACCCACACCACATATAGCAGACCTTGATCCATGTCATCCAACCTTGGGCCCACATGACTTTCCTCCAACCAACCCAACTTTTTCCCCTGAACCCAACCACACACTTTCAAGCCAAGATGATCCTATATCTCCAGCCACGCCTAACCCTCCAGCCAACCATTCTTCTTTTTATCCCATTGACCCACCTATTTCTCCAGCTGACCCCACCACATCATCACCTATTGCACTTACAAACCCAGAACAACCCGCTTCTCTTCCACTTTCTACTCCTCCTCTTTCTACCAATCCACCTGTCAGAGTTTCTCAGCGTTCCAAACAAGCCCCCGTCTGGCAAAAAGATTATGTTCTTAATCACGTACTAGTGCCCAGACCTGCATCATCGTCTTCCTCGCTGCCGATCCAGCCCAAAGGTACTCGTTATCCTCTCTGTAATTTTCTCTCATATCATCGTTACTCACCTTCACATCTCTCTTTTATTGCAAATGTCAGTAGTAGTGTGGAACCTTCTTGCTTTACAGAGGCTGCTGCAGATCCCAATTGGCAACAAGCTATGCGCTCTGAACTTGAGGCCTTAACATCGAACAACACATGGACGCTCACTACTTTGCCCCCCGACAAACACCCCATTGGTTGTCGATGGGTTTACAAAATCAAGCACCGTTCTGACGGTTCCATCGAACGCTATAAGGCTCGCCTCGTTGCCAAAGGATATACTCAAACTGAGGGGATTGATTATCATGATACTTTCTCCCCCACGGCCAAGATGATTACTGTACGTTGTTTGCTTGCTATCGCCGCTGCTCAAAATTGGTCCCTTAGCCAATTAGATGTTAACAATGCTTTTCTGCATGGGGATCTCCATGAAGAAATTTACATGTCACCTCCTCCCGGTCTCCGGCGACAGGGGGAGAATCTTGTGTGTCGCCTCAATAAATCACTCTATGGGCTCAAGCAGGCATCTAGGCAATGGTTTGCCAAATTCACTGAAGCTGTTCTGGCTGCTGGGTTTATCCAATCCAAGGCAGATTATTCTCTTTTTACATGCAAGAAAGGTACATCGTTTACAGCCTTGTTGATTTATGTTGATGACATACTAATAACTGGGAATGATCAAAAGGCAATCTCATCTCTTAAGCAATTTCTACAGTCACGGTTCAAAATAAAGGACCTTGGAGATCTCAAGTATTTTTTAGGGATTGAAGTTTCCCGTTCAAAACAGGGCATATGTATTTCACAAAGAAAATACACCCTTGACATACTCAAAGACAGTGGCATTTTGGGAGCAAAACCGGTAGCCTTTCCCATGGAACAAGGCACCAAACTTTCTGATGCAGGTGATTTACTCAAAGATCCATCTCAATTTAGAAGATTGGTAGGGCGCCTAATATATCTCACCATCACACGCCCTGACATCACATATGCAGTACATGTGCTTAGTCGATTTATGCATGCACCCCGAATGCCGCATATGGAAGCAGCTCTCAGAATACTGAAGTATCTTAAAAATGCACCAGGGCAAGGTCTATTATTTTCAGCTGGAAATAACTTGAAGCTACGTGCTTATTGTGATTCTGATTGGGCGGGGTGTCCTATGACGAGGAGATCCACGACTGGGTATTGCGTATTTCTTGGGAATTCATTAATTTCTTGGAGGACTAAGAGACAAAAAACTGTCTCATTATCTTCTGCAGAGGCAGAATATCGAGCTATGACAGGAGCATGTTGCGAGCTCACTTGGCTACGAAGCTTGTTAAGTGACCTACATCTTCCACATCCAGAAGCCTCAATTCTCCATTGTGACAACAAAGCTGCACTACATATTGCTGCTAATCCAGTCTTTCATGATAGAACTCGTCATATGCTCCCTTCTCATCCAACATCCCCAACCCCTCTTTCCCTCCCTCTCATTCTCGGTAAAAAAGTTAAACGCATTAAGAAAAAGCCAAAAATCTTGAATATATATAAGTGCAAATCAGAAATCTTCAAAAGCATCTCCTATGATGATAAGTTGACAACCCACTACTTAAAGAAAGGTAATGATGGATGTTATGGGCAACCAAGTAAATTAGTTAATTTTTCATTTTTCTGTTAATTTTATCAACCACTTTTTGGGTGGTGTTGTTTGATGTTGTTATTCATGGAGGGGGACTGCAGCCAAGGGGCGGCAGTGCGTGGTGGGCAGATTGCCGATGGGATCTGGGTGGGACACTGCTACAATCTTGTTTTCTTTTTCATGTTTTTCAAAAAAAATTTAAATAAAATTTATTCAGGGTAAAGTTGGAAGACAAGGTACAACTATGAAAAAAAAATATAGAAAATTAGTGAAATACCCATTTCTAGACATAATTCTATAAATAAACCCTACATCATTCAATATATATAAACACACCAAAAAAAAGCCCAAAATTGACAGCTGTTATAATTTTTTAGTTTAATTAGTTAAATGAAATACCTTTATCATCCTTTTAGTATTAAATTAGTTTTTTTGAAAAATTCTGGGACTCTCTCTCTCGTCTCTCTCCCTTCGCAGAAACCAAGTTGGCCAGTTTTGGCCAGCGATCTTGGTGCTTCGGCCACGGCTAGATGCGTGACTAGTCGGAAAATGACTAGAGGAGGTCGGTAAACCACGCTTGAGCCCATTCCCGGAGAGCCTAGCCTCCTTTCGCCGTCGCGAGCTCTAGGAACCTTTGAGGGTTTCAAGTTTTCCGACACCTTTTTTGGTGGTTCCAACGACTGTTGTCGCAGATCTAGGTATGGATTTCGATCCTCTCCTCATGCTCTTGCTGATAGTATAGTTATTTGGAATCAATTTTAGCTTTTGAGAGCGTGAAAATGCTGTTGTTTCACTCCCTCCCTTGCATTCAGCTCTTTGGTTGCTGGACTCTGTATTCTGAAATGGTGTGAGAGCTTGTTGAGCTGCAGTTGATTGTTTGAGCTTTAGCTTCAATCAAAAGGTACATAGCAAAATAGCTATCTACGGTTTGATCTCGAACCGGAATTTTGATTCTTTTATCGGCTTAGGTACTGTTGCGTTACTACCTTATCCAGATGTGCATTGAAAGACTGCAATCATTATATGCATTGATGGGATGATATAATTCTAGTCTTCTATCATCCCAACTAAGTTGTATTGACTGTTATTTTTACAAACCTAGGAGGTCTATTTGACTAGAAATTCAAAGTTTGTATAGTTTCAGAAATCCTTTTAGGCGTTTTAAGACCTAGATTAGGTTAGCTCTTCATCTGGTGGCGGAGATGAAGAAATAGGATTTAGGATTTCTTTTGTCTTAAAGCAACACAGTTTTTTGTCCACCAGTTTCTGTTAGTAGAGAAATTTCTGATTAGTTCCACTGACATTTATCTGTTTGTGATATTTTTATGTTCTGTCATCTTGTCTCAAATATCTATGTTTGCAGGATCTTTACTTGAGGGGATTCTGGTTGAAGAATTGGATGAGTACAGAGAAGGCAAAAGAGTGTAGAGTTTTGATAGATTCCCTCCTGGACCTAGCACGGGAAGGGAAGTTAAAATATGAGTAAGTTCTCCATTAACTATACACTTGGCTGCTTCTTTTTAGTTTTTTAACCCTACTTTTTTTAATTTGAATTGTTGTATGTTTAACATCAGAGGATTCCCTATTTGTAGGATGGAGCTGGTTCCTTTTGACAATTTCAATGCTGCATTAGATGAGGCCCTTGGGAAGCAAGGGAGCCAACCAAAACAAGTTATCAACTTTCATTTGAGCATGGCTGAAGTAAGTCTTTTGTTTTGGTGATATAATAATCTTTCGGAGTTTTATTGTATTGCATTAGGATGTGAAGTAACATTTTGGATCTCCTATTATATAATGTAATTACTACATATGGATCTCAATGCATATAATGAGTGGTATGGAGTTGTACACTTTTATCGTACCTATTATGTGAATGAAATGATGTAGTTGTTAACTTCCAGTAAGTGGTGTGAACAGTTGTTATACTATTCATACCCTGCAATTGAGTTGATTTTGAGTGGTATGGACCTGCAACTATTGTTGAGATGGAGTTATTCTCTATATTTTTATCATTGTTGAGTATTGATTTTGAGTGGTATGGAGTTTTACACTTTTATCGTACCTATTATGCAAATAAAATGATGTAGTTATTGTTAACTTCCAGTAAGTGGTATGAATAGTTGTTATACTGTTCATACCCTGCAATTGCTGGTTTTGATATTTGGGTTAAATTTGGCTTATGTTCTAGTTTGATCACTCTGTGGTTCCTTTTCATTTTGCTGGTTTTGCTTTTGGTAATTTTGGTTAGGCTTTCTTTTTTATGAGTTTCTTATTTTCTATGTTAGGAATCTGTGATTGATCTACAATGGTAATTTGTTTATGAGCAAGACTGGTAATTTGGATTTCGTCGCAAGTTAACTCAAGGCTTTGGCTTTGGAGACAGAGGAACCAACCAACCAAGCTATGGCTACATATTTCCAAAATTTAAGCAACCAAAACTTGTTGAACCCCTCCTATGCAAGGGATGAGAAACTTGCTTCTTATCCTGAACCCCCCGCCAACATGATGATGTATCTGAATCAAGCTTCATATGTTGCTGGATTGTAGTTGTTAGCTTCCAGTAAGTGGTATGAACAGTTGTTATACTGTTCATACCCTGCAACTGAGTTAATTTCTATGACATAGTATTAACAGTATACTTCTATGACATAGTTTTAACAGATTTTCAGTAACAAAACATGCTCTATATTTTGCTCATATAGATGTGCACTTGAAGTTTATGATATGCATAATGTGATTTTTACTAGGAAGATAGTTCTACGACATAGTATTAACAGTGTACTTTTTTTCTTCTTCTTGTAGATGTATTTCCTTTTGCCTTTGCGATTGTTTATAGTGAAATTGTGGACAATTGGAGGTGATTTTTGCAAAGGATATCGGATGTCTTGCTGGGGTTTTTTTCTGTTTTTTTTGTAGTTTTTTTGTATGAAATGGTATTAACAATGTTTTTCTATGAAATGATATTAACATTGTACTTCTATTACATGGTATTAACAATGTATTTCTATGACATGGTATTAACAATGTCTTGCTGGGGTTTTTTTCCCTCTTTTTTTTAGTTTTTTTGTATGAAATGGTATTAACAATGTTTTTCTATGAAATGATATTAACATTGTACTTCCATTACATGGTATTAACAATGTATTTCTATGACATGGTATTAACAATGTATTTTTATGACGTGGTATTAACAATGTATTTCGGGCTTGCAGGGCTTTTTTTGTGTGGTCAAATCTGGGCTGGGCTTATTTTGGGTCTTTTTTGAGTTTTTGTATTAGGCTTGTTTTAAGTTAATGAATGGCAGAGATGTAATTTATAGGAACTTTAACACTCATTTTTTAGTTTGTAAATGGTTTTTGGGTGTGTTTCTAAAGTGAATTCCATATGAGGTTTTTTTTATAATTTCATGTCCTATTTTGGGTATATTACTAAAGCTCCCAAAAATATAATTATTTTTTAAAAATAGACACGTGTTAGATTTTGAGTGGGAGTATCACCCGCTGACGTGGTGATACCGTTTCACTCTATAATTTATCCTCATCTGCCACATAAGGTGATATGAGAATGTGGTATACAAATGTGGTAAATTTAGCATAAAATTCCTACACACTCATACTCATAGCCGAAAAACCCTAAAGAGAATACAAAGAGAGCTCGCGCAACCTTTGAGTTCTACTTGGAGAATTCGGTGTCTTCCATGTCTTCATCAATCATCATGATTCTCAATAAATCTTTCATGAACTAATTTCTTTTTATTAAGGCTACGACGTAGCCTAGCTATGAATATTCAAATTCTTTGATATTGTTAATTCTATTTATCTATACATGTTGAATGCTTGTTACCGTTCTTTGATATTGTTAATTCTATTTATCTTTTTGATCTTTTAGAACAATATTCATCGCTCTAAAAGATTAAAAAGATCAAAAATACCGGACGATAATGATAACGATATTCTTAGTGTTTGCATAGGAAAGAAGTCTACTAATTAAGAAAGAACCCTAATACGATTAAAACAGAAAGTAAATTAGACTGAAGCAGGAAACTACCATTGATTTTGCACCCTCGCTGGCCAACTCCAGTTCCTCGTACAGTACGTACTTCCCCGTCTGTTGCGTAGATTCAGCTGCACCAAAATGGATTAAGCTGCATCCTCAACTTGTGATACTCGCAAGTGCACGAGCCGTTCGGTAGTATAGCGTATGTAAGTGCGAAGTCGATCCCACGAGGATTGGTGATTGAATGATCCCATTTATTTCTCCTACACAAAACAGAAATGAAAAAAGGAAATAAATAAAACAAGAAAAAGGAAATACCTCAAGCAAATAAGTTCCCAAGTTCAATTAGATTAATGGATTGATTCTAGCTAAAGTATGATTAAGCCATGGTGTATGGTCATAACCTTGTGTTCCTAATTCCCTAATTTGATCATTTGTTGTCTAACCTAAAATTAAGCATTAGGAACCCATTAAGCATAGAAGAACAATTTAA